ACTTTAACGTAGCCATGCACGGTGTAGGGCCTGTAGCAAGTTTGCCAGGATGTAGATGGTTCGACTTTAACGTAGCCATGCACGGTGTAGGGCCTGTAGCAAGTTTGCCAGGATGTAGATGGTTCGACTTTAACGTAGCCATGCACGGTGTAGGGCCTGTAGAAAGTTTGCCAAGATGAAGATGGTTCTACTTTAACGTAGCCATGCATAGTGTAGGGCCTGTAGAAAGTTTGCCAAGATGTAGATGGTTCGACTTTAACGTAGCCATGCACGGTGTAGGGCCTGTAGAAAGTTTGCCAAGATGAAGATGGTTCGACTTTAACGTAGCCATGCACGGTGTAGGGCCTGTAGAAAGTTTGCCACGATGTAGATGGTTCGACTTTAACGTAGCCATGCACAGTGCAAGGCCTGTAGAAAGTTTGCCAAGATGTAAGGTATCAAGCTTCTGCGAAGGATGAAATAATTAATCTTCATCCTGGCAAACTTTCTACAGGCCTTGCACTGTGCATGGCTACGTTAAAGTAGAACCATCGTAGAAACTTTCAGTGTCGGACAGTACTGCGTAATTACAGTTATGAAGTTCCAAGGGTAGCGCAAGAATATCAACAGTAGAAACTTTCAGTGTCGGACAGTACTGCGTAATTACAGTTATGAAGTTCCAAGGGTAGCGCAAGAATATCAACAGTAGATACTTTCAGTGTCGGACAGTACTGCGTAATTACAGTTATGAATTACAGTTATGAAGTTCCAAGGGTAGCGCAGGAATATCAACAGTAGAAACTTTCAGTGTCGGACAGTATTACGTAATTACAGTTACGAAGTTCCAAGGGTAGCGCAGGAAGATCATTGTTACTGGTATTTATATACAGGTATGTATTAGAACATTATAGTTTTGTATGAATACGAAGCTGTTGTTGGTAATTGTGTTTCTTGTAAAATTATAGACCAAAATGTCTTTGGAAGAGGGATGGGTCCAGCTGGCTATCAACCTATCAGAGTCCATTAACGGTTCTACGTGGAACAATGTTTTGAAGAGCTACAATGAAGATCGACTAACGTTGACGAGACCATCTAACATTATTCTCATTATCCTTTACATCATCTGCTTCTTGATAGCAACATCAGCCAATATGGTAACATTGTTAGTCTTCTGCAGGTATGATATACTGGTTTCTTAGTTACATTGTCAGTAGTTTTATTGGTGTTCTACAGTTATAGTAAACATTATTTATTATTAATTACATTGTTCAATAGCTTTATTAGTGTTCTGCCGTTATGGTATACTGGTTTCTGAGTTACATTGTTCAGTAGCATTGTCAGTGTTACGCAGGTATGATATACTGATATAGTAGTCACGTTATTCAGTAGCTTTATTAGTGTTTTGCTGGTGTGATGTACTGATATATTAGTCACGTTATTCAGTAGCTTTATTAGTGTTTAGCTGGTGTGATATACTGATATATTAGTCACGTTATTCAGTAGCTTTATTAGTGTTTTGCTGGTGTGATATACTGATGTATTAGTCACGTTATTCAGTAGCTTTATTAGTGTTTTGTTGGTGTGATGTACTTACTCTAATGTTTTCAAAGTTACATGGTATTTCATTTTCGTTACGTATAACCTTTGTTTGTGTTCTGATTTCTGGATTACATTATTTAGTAGGTGTGTGACTATAGTATGTTAGCCACATACATAAACCATTTAGTATTCATGTCGATACTGCCTTATTTAGTAGATGTGTGATATAGTATGTTAGCCACACACATAAACCATTTAGTATCCATGTCGATACTGCCTTATTTAGTAGATGTGTCACGTTATTCAGCAGCTTTATTAGTGTTTTGCTGGTGTGATGTACTGATACGTTAGTCACGTTATTCAGTAGCTTTATTAGTGTTTTGTTGGTGTGATGTACTTACTCTAATGTTTTCAAAGTTACATGGTATTTCATTTTCGTTACGTATAACCTTTGTTTGTGTTCTGGTTTCTGGATTACATTATTTAGTAGGTGTGTGACTATAGTATGTTAGCCTCATACATAAACCATTTAGTATTCATGTCGATACTGCCTTATTTAGTAGGTGTGTGACTATAGTATGTTAGCCACATACATAAACCATTTAGTATTCATGTCGATACTGCCTTATTTAGTAGGTGTGTGACTATAGTATGTTAGCCACATACATAAACCATTTAGTATCCATGTCGATACTGCCTTATTTAGTAGGTGTGTGTGTGTGGGTATGCAGTTCCAACAATGATCAGGATGTCCGTATAAAAGAAACTTTGAATGAAAAACTATTACACATTTTATTCGTTTAGAAGAAAATATTAACTGTACGTTTCATAATATATATATATATATATAAGATATACGTAACACTTCATCTATGAACCGTTGTAATACACCAATTTCTGTACAATAGTTTTAGAACTTTCGAATTTTGCTGAATTATTCGTACGTAACGGTAAAAAAAAAACAACAACAACCAAAAAACGTGTTTTGGAAGTTTTGGCATTAACATTTTTCCTTTAGGTAGTTGTTTTTCGAAATATATTCAAACTGACAGCCGAAACTTTCATAATTTCAGTAACATAAGTTTATTATGAACCTTTAAGGCTTATTATTCAGTTGTACACTGAACATAACACTTACGAATAGAAAGTAATAATGAACAAACGCAAATTTCAATTGTAAATTAACAAAAAAACAAAAAAAAACAACACACACACACACAAAAACTGTAGAGTCAGCTGTTTCAAAACGAAAACTTATCATTGCCATTATCTGATAACAAATGTAATTAATGTCTTAAAGTTTATGCACTTGAGTTAATACTAAATCTATATAGAGTCAGTTGCTTCAAAACGAAAACTTATCATTGCCATTATCTGATAACAAATGTAATTAATGTCTTAAAGTTTATGCACTTGAGTTAATACTAAATCTATATAGAGTCAGTTGCTTCAAAACGAAAACTTATCATTGCCATTATCTGATAACAAATGTAATTAATGTATTAAAGTTTATGCACTTGGGTTAATACTAAATCTATATAGAGTCAGTTGCTTCAAAAATGCAATAAAAAATTAACAGTATCATCATGTCTTATATATTTTGAAATACGAACTAACATAAGACGTTTTCGAATATGTGTTTAATTCTAGACCACATAGTTAGAAGCTGTTTTGTTTTATTTCGTTGACCAGCGAATAGTAAAGCTAGTAATATTTTTTAAGCTTTTGGTATATTGACCTAGTTTGTAATTATACTGAAGATGAACAATATGAATTTATGAGTGTTTTCGTTCTCTATTGTACTTTCTTTTAACATCGATTTTGCTTTAACTATCCTTAGTTCTATGGGTTACCAATAGATCACTGTTTTTCGGAAAACCTCTTTTAAGTTTCTTTGTTTGTTTGTTTTAGCGCAAAGCTACAAAATAGGCTATCTGCGCTCTGTTTGTTTGTTTGTTTGTTTTTTGAATTTCGCGCAAAGCTACACGAGGGCTATCTGCGCTAGCCGTCCCTAATTTAACAGTGTAAGACTAGAGGGAGGGCAGCTAGTCATCACCATCCACCGCCAACTCTTGGGCTACTCTTTTACCAACGAATAGTGGGATTGACCATCACATTATAACGCCCCCACGGCTGAAAGGGTGAGCATGTTTGGTGTGAGAGGGATTCGAACCCGCGACCCTCAGATTGCGAGTTGAGTGCCTTATCCACCTGGCCATGCCGGGCCATCTGCGCCCTCCTCACTATGGAGAATCAAGCCCCGAATTTTAACGTTTTACGTCTGTAAAGCTACCTTTGACCCACTGGGGTACTTCTTAGTTTCCAGTCACTTGTTTTAAAACAATATATCCCCCCTCCCCCACCATATCTCCCAATGCACCATATCCAGACAGGGCGCTGGTGATTATGGCCTTCCACGGTCTCTCCTTCCTTCTCTCTCACCAGTTACGACCAGTTTCAATTTCTTGGTGTAACATAATAATCCAAAACTTTTAACTTCGTCCCCGTAGAATTTTTACTATCTGTCAGTATCTTCTTTATTTTCAATGCGTCTTTTGCCATTTCTATTCTCGATTTTATTTCTTGACCACATGTTATCTAGCTTCCCGAGTGCTTGATTATATTTATCTGTTCCATGTCTACTTTGACATTACATACAGTAATGATCCTCTTTGTTCTAATTACCATACATTGTTTTCCTTCAGCTCATACTTAAACCCTTCTTTTCTTTTCCACTAACAACTAATTGCAGCAAGAAATGGCAACCTAATGCAGTATTTTGCCAAGCATAATCTATGGTCATTCAGGAACATATTTTACAAAGGTGATTTAAATTTCTTTGAAAAGGTTAAAACTGGTCATTATTAATATATAGATTAATTATTGTTATATTTTTTCTCAGCCACAAGTTAAGAAAATGTTGTATAAGTACAGCTACTTCCACCAAGACGAACTAGGGTTACAATAATATTAGTTACACGTTGTAGAATAGTTAATTGCTCAATTGTTAGTAAAATTACATTTTTGATTTGAAAACTTCCTCCAGGTACAGGCAAATGCGGAAATTGTCGAACTCATTGCTTATTACGCTTTCTACTGCTGACTTACTAGTGGCGCTAGTGTGCATGCCAATGGCAGTAGGATCAACAACCTACAGATTATGGATATTTGGTGACGTCATGTGCAAGTTGACCAATTATCTCCAAGGTAGGTATTAATAATCCTTAACTCACTATAGTTAATGAAGGACGTTTATTTAACCCTAAAGCAATTAAATGTCATCGTTACCACACCATTAAGAGCTGTTATCGATGCAATTGACAGGCAGAAGTTGTCGTGTCGCCTTAACAGTTGACAGGCGGAAGTTCTTTGCTGCCATAACACTTGACCAGCAGAAGTTGTCTGCGCCAGAGGGCGTGTTGCTAGGGGCATGTTGCTAGGAGCCATAGTTCCATAAGGTGGCGCCAGAGACTGCGGCTGTTTTAGCGTCATAGTTCCATGAAGTGGCATCAAAGGACTTGTTGGTAGAGGAAGGATAAGATTATGAACACGCAGATAGTTCGCGAGCGAACCACCAGAGGGCGATAGATCAGCATGACTCTGATTTTATAGTGACAATCAAAGACTTGAAATCAATATTTTATCTAATTTGCTTTATATGTAAAACATTATATCTACGATTTCATTATCTAGTTCTTATCAACTTTATAGTTTTACATTTATGTATTTAACTGTGTAAGTCTTACAAAGGTGGATGGCGGAAATAAAACTTCTGGTTTGTCTGTCAGTTTTATAGAAATGAAAGCATTACATGTTTCTGCCTTAGGCGAACATATCCACCTATAGAAACACTGTCCACCTTTGTACGACGTAACAATTAAAGATATAAGTGAAAAACTATAAAGTTGATAACAACTAGAGATTGAACTAGTAGACATAATGTTTTATTCATAAAGTAAATTAAAGAAAATAAAAATTTTAAGACTAATTATTACTATAAAATTGAGATATCTTGATCTCTTACCCTCTGGTGGTTCGCTCGCGAACTATCTGCGTGCTCATCATCCTACGCCACCTCTACTAACATGTCTTTTGATGCTACTTTGTGAAAAAAACGACTCTAAGACAGCCCCGCCATCTGGTGCCATTTCGTGTATCTATGCCCCCTAGCAATGTACCCAAACAACACGGCTTCTAGCGGCAGACAGCTTCTGCCTGCCAAGCGTCATGGCGGAATGACAACTTCTGCCTTCTAAGTACCCTAATAATTACTATTAAGTATTATAACAAATAAATATAATACCACAATAAACTAAAGAGAGAAGATTCTGGTACATATTCTCATAAATATTTCTTTCTTTCAGCATATGTAAATTATTCTATGGGTGTTGTTTTTGATAAAGATTATTACTTTATACTGATGTCTTGTTAAAACACAAGTAGCTCAAAACGTATTCTATTGTTGAAAACAACGCCATGTAAAAGATTCAACAGATCTGGGTTACAACAATAACACTTTTAATAAATTTTCTATTTGTATAATATTAAGTCTGAGTTACTCCATTTTGGTAGGTGTCGCTGTTTCAGCCAGTGTCTTTACCATGACTGTGATGAGCATCGATAGGTATGTCGTCATATGTCATCCAATAACGTTCAGAAAGTGCTTCTGCAGACGTCACTTCCGGTGGGGAATCGTGTTTTTATGGTTGGTGGCATTCGGTATTTTTGTGCCTATGTTAGTTGTCCGTCAGACAGGAGGATTCAGCTTATCGACACCAATAAACAAGTGAGTTTAGCTCAGTGGATTTCTGTAAATTCTGAAATCTTTAGATAACATATTTTAAACAGGAAACTTTAGACGATTACTTATAGAACTAAAATAATAATTCGAATAACTGTGGATATGAAACAGATCTTAAGCTGACTGGACACATACTTTGGCCTGTAGACTTTTAAAGTTAAGAACTTAAGAATAAGTTCTGTGATATTTGAACCTCCAACAGGGATATTGGAGACTTGGACAGCTTGAGCTCTTAATGATTTTGCGGAGACATTAGCTTGATTAGTTGACTACCTAAGCTATCAGTAGGGAGGTCACTTAGGTTCCAGTTAAATCTCCTGACCAGTTTGAAAAGATATTAGCTTGATTACTTGAATACCTAAGCTATCAGTAAGGAGGTTACTTAGGTGAACCAATTGTGTTAGATCTCCTGATCGTTTTGCAGAGACATTAGCTTGATTAGTTCAATACCTAAGCTGTCAGCAGGGAGGTCACTCAGGTGTACCAATGTAGTTAGAGCTCCTGGAATCTAAGCATATAAACCATTAGAGTGCAGCAACACAGCTAGTTAAGAGCCTTAGTCCCTTTAGCAGGGAAGTCATCTGGGTGCACCATTTCAGTTAATTCAAACTCTTGGCACCAGTAGAGAAGTCACTGGGATGCAAGAATTCAGTTGAATAGAGCTTCTAACCACAAAGCATGAAGATCATTAACATCCACCAGTTTGGAAATTCTAAGAATATAAAGAAGAATGCATAACAATATGTCAACCACTTTATGTCTGCTATGTCCAGTAACGACGAGGCTTTTCACCGAATACTAAGGCTCATCAGGCCAGCTGGGATACGATAAAAATTAATAGTCGTTAAGACACCATTTACATTATCAAATTACATGAACAACTGTTACGATGTGAACTATATTAAGGTGCGAATTGCAATCTTTCTCAATTTTATTAAACACCAATTAATTATTATTATCATCTATTTTACGTTAATTGGCTTTTACTCATCATTCACATGTACTGGTGAACCAACAGGCTAGTATTCTTGTTCCTTGAGAGGGTCAATCAACCACAGCGTCAACAGGAGAAAACCACATTTCTAATTCTAAGCCCATGAGTGAAAATAAAGTGTGTAACAATATGTCAACCATACTATAACTTGGGCTCTCGGCAAAATAAGGCATTGAAGCGTAACAAGTCGATTAGTTAAGAGTTTCTGACTTCCCAGAAGAAACGTAACTAGAGTAAACTTTCATTAGCTCAGGTTACAAGTTTATATCTTCTCAAAACACTAGAATTAATTGCTAGCAACTAATAATTTCTTATTGTATAAAACCTATAGTCCGTTACATCTGTCTGATGACAACACCATTCCAAGTTTGGTTTAATGCACATTTTCTTTTCTCCTATAGTACAGAAGTAGCTTTCGTCTACTGTGTAGAAGTGTGGCAGGACATTTGGGGCCGTCGGATCTATGGACTGGCCACATTTTTAATTGTCAATGTGTTCCCAGCAGTAATAATGTTCTCAGCTTACAGTAAAATTGGCATCCAGCTTTGTGATCAGAAAGTGGAGTTGACCAGAGATCAATCTTTCGGCCATATACTCCGGAAACAGACGTCCTCCTTCAGGCTGAAAAATATTATCCAATGTCGTCGCGTCGTGGCTAGACGGTTTGTGATCTTAACGCTCGTGTTTGCTATCTGTTGGGTGCCCTATAACATCACCACTCTTTTGATGGACTTCCCTCTACAGCAAGGCGTTCACGAATACCTTATGGCCTTTCTGCCCTTCGGACTTCTACTGGGCCACGCCAACAGCGCCATCAACCCACTTCTCTACTGCTGGCTGAACCGAAAATTCGGCCGTTGTTTTAGAGAACTACTGCGATGTCGGAAACGAAGCGCCTTCCAGCGGGACAGAGCGATGGCATTTTATCATGCCGACATAAGGTAAATTATAAAATGAAGAAGTCAATTACATCAGGAAAAATTAATAGGAGAGAAAAGTAGCAAATGAGAATGAAAGTAAATCAAATCTACTACTCGACAATCATTATTAATATTATAGAAAGTAATGAACACAAAATATATTGATAAGAGCTAAGTTGTAAGAAAGAGATATATATGGGGGTGACTGTCACAGAGATAAAACCCCACATTTTAGCTTTATAAGCACTAAAGCTTACCACTGAGTTTTTTCTCTACACCAAAATAGCTGCCATAGAACACAGACACCGCAGGACACACCAAATCTAGAAATCCGACTATTTTTTAAAGTCGTTTCAAAACACAAATCTTGTATCTGGTATTCTATTGTAACGAGAAAAATGATCCAAGATTATTACTGAACCTACATAGAAGGAGGATTTTATCATTAAACCTGTCAAAACTTGGGGTGGATAAATTTATGATTAAGCTTTCTCAGAGGGTTGGGTAGTTATCGTAGGTTTCTCCAGTGGATAAAATATTGATCATTAAACTAGTACAGAGGGTAGGTGGGGTAGGGATATTTATCATTAAACTTCTACAGAGGGTGGCAAATTTTATCATTAAACATGTACAAAAGGTAAGGTTTATCATTATGCTTCCACCGAGTGTAGGATATTTATCATTAAACTTGTAGAGAGGGTATGGTATTAATTATTAATCTTCCACGGAGGGTTGGGTATTTATCATTAATATTCTAGAGAAGGTTGGGTATATATCATTAAACTTTCACAAAGGGTAGGGTATTTATCATTAATCCTCTACAGACGGTAGGGTATATATCATTAAACTTCCACAGAGGGTAAGTATATATCATTAAACGTGTACAGAGGGTAGGTATATATAATTAACTCGTACAGAGGGTAGGTATTTATAATTAAATTTGCACAGAAGGTAGGTATTTATAATTAAACTTGTGCAGAGGGTATGGTATTTAACCTTAAATTTTCACAGAAGGATGGTAATTTATAATTAAACCTTTGCCCTCCCTTGCTCTGTGATAAGCTTGGAATCTTTTAACGCTAAAATTTGTTGCTCAATTCCCGTGGTGGACAACCCACAAATAGTCCATTGTTTAGCTTTGTGGTTTAAAACAAAACACAAGCATTATACCTAATTTGTATTTAATGCTTTATTCGGAACTTGCCTAGAGTGATGGTTTTATCATCAAACCATTTTGGATTGAATGGTTGTTATTTAAACAGTTCGAGTGATGGTTTCAGTATTAAAATTAATTGTATAGAGGGTTTTATCATTAATTATGCCCAGAGTTAAGGTTTTACAAAGTGAGCGTTAAGAGAGAATTGAAAATATCCAAATTTAGGGTTTTTATATCTTTCTTTTATATCTTAAATGTTTTACCTTTCAACTCGCCGAGGGTAAAGTTTTATCAAAGTTCTACCATCAAGCCTTTTTGGGGTGATTACTTCAGATCAGAATGAGACATATTAGTAATTTAAGCTAGAGCAAAGGTTGAGGTACACATTCTCATATGGCATTTGAAGGATTGATTTCTAAACACACGATAATTGTATTTTATTATGATAAAGATTGTCGTAATGTTAACAACACGTTATTTATTACTAAAAGAAAACTGGTTCCTATGATTTGCATACTTTGGGGTGTTGTTGAAAGGGCATATCGTATAGGCTAGGCATGTTTAAACTTAGTTATCAGCAAAATATGTAACGTTTTATGTACAGCAAACAAATTAACAATGTGTCACGCTTTCCTAAGTTACTTAGAGATAATTCCGTGACTATAAAATCAGTTTGTTTGTTTGAATTTTGCGCAAAGCTACACGAGGGCTATCTGCGCTATCCGTCCCTAATTTAGCACTGTAAAACCAGAGGGAAGGCAGCTAGTCATCACCACCCATCTCCAACTCTTTTACCACCGAATAGTGGGATTGACCGTACATTATAACGCCCCCACAGCTGAAGAGGCGAGCATGTTTAGTGGGAAGGGGATTCGAAACCGCGACTCTCAGATTGCGAGTGGAGCGCTCTAACCACCTGGCCATATAACAATGTCACTCTATCTAACGCGTCATATCCTGTGCGATGTAACCACATAACACAGTCAATATTCTTTGTGAACACATTATGCCATGTAGTATAACGTTACATTTTCTGTAAACACATTATGTCATGCCAGTGCGATGTAAATACATGAACAGTTTGTCACGCATCTGATAACGTAAACATTTCGCACGTTATTTACATAAATAGCTTATACCATAAATAATTAATAAATAAAAATACTAACATAGACATGGCTAATACCACATTTTTGGACCCGAGTGATCGATATTAAGTCGTTTCTGTGATTTTTAATTTTGATTATTTTAAAGTTTTTAGTTTAGAACACAATTTATTAGCCATGTTCATTCCACGAGACCATGGATAGCGTTTTCACAATATTGTTGAAGGAAAAACAGTTTAGTACAAACTTTTCATTTTTTAAATTGTAATTGTCACTACATTATCAAGGTTTTTGTTCGATATCTTACTCAAACTGTAAAAATTCTCAGAAACAATATATAAAAAGTCAGGTTTTGGTGACAGGTATAAGTTATAACTAGTTCTAAACCGTCCCTGTTCTACTTACATAACAAGTAAGCTGGACAATTTTTATATAAAGAGTGTTAATATAATTTCTGTAAAGGAACTGGAATTATTATGTTTTTATTGAATGGTGGGCGAATTCTTTATCTAATATGCTTTTAATCATGCTTCTGAATATAACTTGCAGATGGCGCTGCAGCATTAAATCTAAGGTCTTGGAGCTTGCAGTTTTATTTATGTTAATTTAACTCTTTTTTTAAACCATGCTTCTGAATATAACTTGCAGATGGCGCTGCAGCATTGAATCTTGGAACTTGCAGTTTAATTTATGTTAATTTAATTCCTATTTTTTTTTTTTTTTTTACTTAAGCGCAAAGCTATACAATGAGCTATCACTGCTGTGCCCACCTTAGGTATCGAAACCCATTTTTTAATGTTATAAGCCTTCCGACCTAGCATTGAGCCACTGGAGGAGGGGAGGGGCTGATGTGACTTTAACAAAACTTTAAGTGAGATATAAAAAATTTTTAATGTTCATTTAAGAATAATTGGATTCTCCAACACTTATTTATGTTCCAAATATTTTTTTTTTTACGTAAGATGTGTATACAATAGTGTCTTAGTTTCAATAGTTTTTCATGCACGTGCGCAACTTCTGTGTCAACACAGCGTTCAGAATATCTTAAGCTTCTCACTATAAACATAATACAAGTTGACAAGAAAAGTAATAAAGTGTAATATAAATCAACAACTCAATCGCTGTTACAAATGTTTCAAAAGAGGAATCAGAAGAAACAAAACTCATGGCTAAATTACGGTGTTATCGTCCCTGCAGTATCAGAACCATGCAAGTCCATTTTTTTCCTGCTTCTTGTTTTACATGGAAATGTTTCTAGAACATACCACTGCACATTTTGTGAAAAAAATGTACGCGTCTTCCAGTTGTAGTTCACGACCTAATTTTGTTTTTTATTTCTGAAACTGTAGTGCACATGTTGGGAATATAAAATATAATATGTCAGTAAGTTCTAACATTGTAGACAGACATGGAAACAAAGAAAGCTCTATGTTTATATCAGTATGTGTTTCCAAGTGTTAAATTTGCTTAAAAATGTATTCTTTTGAGAAGAAGAGAGCTAGAGATTCAGGTGGGTGAATTTTTGGAAAATTTATCAGTTTGATACGTCCAAATATCATTCATGGACGTGTTAGAGCTAGAGATTCAGGTGGGTGAATTTTTGGAAAATTTATCAGTTTGGTACGTCCAAATATCATTCATGGACGTGTTAGAGCTAGAGATTCAGGTGGTTGAATTTTTGGAAAATCTATCAGTTTGGTACGTCAAAATATCATTCATGAACGTGTTAGAGCTAGAGATTCAGGTGGGTGAATTTTTGGAAAATCTATCAGTTTGGTACGTCCAAATATCAATGTGACCAATGTGAAAATTTTAAAGCCAGCATTTTTTAATGATTAGAAAAAATTTTGTATTACTGATACCGTGTTTTCACTAACACATTTAAATAAGCTGCTCTCTGTAATTCCTTAATTGTCACTTACAACTTTCTCCAAATGGTGAAATAATTACTGCTTAGTACTTCTGTAGAGAATGTTGGTTCAATGTAGTTTAAGTACTAGTTAAACAATAATGTTATAAGTGACCAATAATTTGCCGTTGATGTTCTTTCTGTTCATTAGATTCAATACTGTATTTAAACTGTTTTCATATTTCAATAGTCTAAATGATAACTAAGTGTAATTATGTAACTATGTTTCTATATTTTAATTACTTTTTGGTTAATTACTAATGAGTTGTTTATTCTACATTTTAGCTGCTAATCTGCTACTGTCTTCAGTGAAATCCTGAAAAGGACTATTTCTAGTGGTCAGGATTATATCTTGGGTTTTCTTGAAAGCAAACCTGATGCATTATCCACTTGACTATGGTCTACCCCATTAAAACTTCGATCAACTAACTATTTGAATACTTTCTAGAAGGGTATCCAGATTTTGCTGAATTTTATGCTAAGTTGACTGAGTTTGTAATCAGTTAGGAAGACGTAGAAGGCTTCTTTTATCTTTATTTTTCTTGTGTGTAGTTCATATACCATCATTTTAGCATTAATTAATTTTATTGTATGGTCTTCTTCTGCTACATTATGAGTATTGGCGATAGATCGATATTATTGAGTCCTTTATATCTATTATGCTTCTGAATTCTACCTTTTTTTGGTCTATTTGTTTCTACAATTTATTGGTATTCGCAAGGGATGTTGTAATGGGCTATTTTCATTTCCATTGAGTCTTGTGTATTTTTGTATTAATTATATTGTGGCTTTTGAATACTGTTCTGACTTTATGTTGTTTACATATTCTCTTTATATTTTCTGAGAGACCTATT